GAATAATCCCGTTCGATCTTTATTAGAGCTAGGACCACATCGACAGTACACAAGGAAATGCATTGATCAATCTCTACTTATGTATACTTCGTTTGTGATATTATTTCGTTAGTGGTGCATCGACGACTCGTCGATAACACGTCTGACACAGTAATGCAGTTTAGAACCGACGTCAGTTTTGCTTCGTGTTTCTTACTTTTCGGCCCAGCTCATTCTAGAGGGCGTCAAAAATTGCATTTCGGGCCGCGAGGTCTCAGGCTGCCACTCTTTAGTAATCTCTCCTCGGTGCTGATACTGCCTATATTGTATCTATGCTGCGGTGGATCTGGAGGTTCTTATCTCTGCTACGGTGGAACCGAACAGGGCAGATCTCTGCAAAAAGGTTCTGGAATATACTACAGTGGACCCCTTTCCCGAAATCCCGAGTTGATCGCAAGGTGCAGCACTTTCATTGCGGTTTCACTTGAGAACAAAGAAGTGAGCGCTCTCAGTTTCTCTCTAGTTGTATACGTTGTATATACGACCGTGGCTCAATCAAACAGAGCTGTTTTCCCTTCATGCCCTTCGGAGCCTTTCCCCTCGCCTATAATCCCACTTTAGGCACCGTCCTTTAAGTCCATGCAAAATCCATGGATTAGAATCTATTATTTTCAATTATTTTACATGCGTGCAGTTTACGTGAGGCGTGCGCTGGCGCGCGCTGCGCGAGTAGCAGGTTCTTTCTACACTGTAAATTCGTTATAAATTACGTGACAGCTACTGTATTATAATATATTAGTCTTTATTGGTAATAAAGATTTAGTGCGCAATAAATACACTTGATTTTTATCATAAGTAACAATCCAATAATTTGTTTTCTGTTAAGAATTCCACTTTTCGTTTTCTTGTTCCGGTAATGGATAAATTAGCTGGGCAGGTGATTTATCAAACATATTTGTCGTCGAAGTAGTTCCTTAATTTTTTATTGCATATGCAATCAACATCTACAAGATCGTCGCCTGCAGACAGCCAGGCATGTATAACGATAATTGTTACATGTTTGAACAAAATAATTAAATTTTCAAAACAATATTATATTTGACAAGAAAATATCTAATTTTTAGAGATTTATACATAATGCTTATTACATGGATGCATAAGTTGGTTTCATCTACAAATTTTTAGTCACAGTGTTTTAAACATGTCTTAAAATATAAATGTTTATAAATAGTTAAGCTAGAGGATAATCCAATGGTAAGTAAAATCAGTAGTATAAATGAAACCATTGCCAATGGACCAGGTACCAGACTTGTATAACCAATACTTCCAATATAATAAATGAAACTACAGTAGTATGTCATTTCCTTTTTCATTCCATTGTTATATTTGCATTTACACGTGTGTGATGCACTTCTTATTGCATTGTCAATATTTAGTATATTCATCACACTATGTGTCATGTTAATCCTTAAATTCATCTTAATCCTTGTACTGGATCTTAATTCTTGTAATACATTAAAAAGCACATTCTTACCGTGGTTTACAGTTGCAACATTTACAATTCTGCTGGCGTGCATGATTACTCCACTGGCGGCGTAATTCACAAAAATTGTTCAACCATTTACAACTTGGCTTGGGTGGTGTGTAACAGTTCCATTCTATTTCTTCAGCACATTGACAAGGTTCTAAGTTTATTGTTACAGTGGGAGGAGGTCGAGCAGTATTACAATTTGTGGGATTAGGATATCCTCCGACAGATCGACACAAACAATAAGGTGTCTCATCTACGGAGCACTTTTTGCAATTATCGTCATCTTCCGCTATATTGAGAACCAAATATTCATAAGCTTATTAATTGTTGTAAATGCATATTACCGATGAACTAACCACAATGATTGTCGAAGTATAATTCAAATTCTTCCTTTCTTTTACAACATGACATATTCTTTCACGCAATGGTAGAATGAAAATTGATTTCTAAATTGTAGGTACTTTTAGTGTCATTTGACTATTGTGAATAAAATTTCAAGTTATATTTATTAATTTAGATGACATTTTTACAGTTTATTCAGGAGTAAGATCTTCTACTGTCTTACGTTGTCTTATTAAATGTTCCTTTTTTTATATATTTTGTATTTATGAATTTGAAATTCAAGCGTATGTTAGAAAAATATTCATCTCAATTATCGCTCGATAATTAAGTAGTAGATTTACACTTTTGATTATTTTTGATAAATATAATGTAAAGTAACGAGAATAATTAAATAAGATCGAGACAATTGACGTGGGTCGTGTGAACACCGTGAACACTGCGTATGCATAGGTTGCGTGGTGTATTACAAATTACATATCTGCATCCACGCATCTATGTGTGGATAGGGTGGATGTGGATATAGGTCTCAATGGTCTCAATGGAACCAGACGAGAACCAGATCCATTACATATAACCCCCTCGTGGGCTCGTGGGTTCAAGCTTCTTGTTGTTCCCGTCAACTTTCGTTTATGTTATCCAGTCGACTCTGGTGTCCGTTTAGAAAGTGTGTTTTAGATAAACATTCCTTTTTTAAGTATTGCAATATGAATTCAGTTGTTGATATTTTATGTATAGTTGCAGTTGTTTATGTGCATCATACACGCAGCGTTTCTATTTTCCACAAGTCTGATTTTTCTATACATGCATGAAATCCGCCTAAAAAATCTACTAATAACATTCCTCGTGCCTCATCCTTCCCTACCATGGACCGAAAGGACAATGCATGACGTAGGATTATACATAGTATAAGAAAACTAGATTAAAGCTGATCAAAACTCCATTTATTAACGATCTGTAGTTTTAAGTGTAGCGAGGTTACGAAATTCATGCCTCGAAAGCTGGCTAAAAATTGCCTGGGTCCGACCGTCCGACCAGTCCTTTGTCCACATCGAGCAGGGTTGAGATATTTTTACTCACGACGCTCGCTTCCCCTGTTTTTCGCCTGTATTTCGATCCCCACTACTATTCCCCTCATGCGTGCTCATGCGCGTTCGCGAAGCTCTCCGCAGCGTTATGGTCCCCACCATGGTCGCGTCGTCCCCACTTTCCGGCCGTGGGTAAAAATATCTCAACCCTGACATCGAGTCCGAGTCCTAAGCTTTTCCCCGGTAAAGCCATGCGTCACGTCCTTGTGTTCAAACAAAGGCGTTCGGGCCCCGTAGGCCTGGACATCAGGTATCCATCCCTTCGTGCCTTCTTGACCGCTTGCTTCCCGTCCCTTATCTCTCTTACAATGGACAAGAGGGGATATTAGGTAAAGATGATGAAGGGATAGAAGAGAACATGAAAGAGCGCGCAGTCAAATTGTTGGTTAAGTTTTTATTCCACAGTTGAAAATACATATTAAAAGCCGTATTGAACGTTTCGACCTTTGTTTTGTTACGTTGTACTCCGAATTTATAATAGTATAAAATAAATGTTTTCCACGCTACCTCTGATTTCGGATCTTGTAAAGTTGAGAGGGTAAATTTGAAAGGAGCGAATATAAATTGCGTGGAGAATACAATTTTAAGACAACCAAACTAATGCAAATAGAAAGTACGCTTGAACTAACATTATTATGTACGTTTACGTGTAATTTTCTGCAAGCATACTGTAAATATATTTTTCTTTGTGAATCCTTCCTGCCGAATTTTCTGTAAAAATTATTCGGTATTTACGGCTGTCTACCAGGTATGAAGGTGGCAGGGTACTTAACAGTAACGTTCCGCAATAAAGATAATCTTTTAACTGCTTGTTAACGGTGGATGTTGTCCAGAGGGTTTTGGATTTTTTTATTCGGTCATCAGTCTACATTGAAAGAAAAAGAAATACTTCCCCCCCGAGGATTCGTACCTCATATAGTCTAAGAGCTGACGACATAAAATCGTCTTGTACATAGTACACTAACAATTTATACCTGAAGAGGGTCCCTCGGCCAAATAATTTATTGAAGAAATGTCGCAATTCCAGTCAATACACTCCACTTCACGTAGGTAATAATGAGATTTATAGCGCGATTATATCTGTATATATGTATAGTATATAATATATGTATATTTATAATATATTTCAATAAAAGCACAGTACTGTTCGCGAGATGTTCGTTGAAGTTCGACAAAAGTTTGCGAGCAGTTCGCGTCGTTCGCGAACATGTTCGCCAGTGAGTACGCACCTTTAAACGACAGTGTTTAAAATGGAGAAAAAATTCGAATCATAAAGAATTTTATCGTGCGAAAAACGTCGAAGAAAACGGTTTTTAATTTTTTTTTAACTAAGGCGCACCTCACCGAAAAATCAGGAAAAAAATGGGGTATAATAGTTTACACGTCTACCATAAAAATATAAATGATGTCGCTCGAAATCTTCTATATGAAATGAACATTTTTTATTTTTCACGATCCAACTACGCAACGAAAAAATCTGAAAACATTTCCTAATATCGAGTACCGTCTCGCGAACATGTGAGAACTTTTTCAGATTTTTTGCTAAACATTTAATAGGAGAAATATGTCAAAAACGCTAAAATTGTTTAACCCCCATAAGTATCCTCCGGATTGAGATAGAGGGTTGAAAATTGGCATGAAACGTTTCTATTGGACACTCTATCGAATGGCTCATTGCAAGTTGGATTTCGTTCAAGGGCACATTTTGCCATCTTATCCGGCTAAACCCTTTCACGCCAATTTGACGCGGTCTGCCGGCATTTTCGCCTCAAGCAAATGGTCTGACAATATTTTTCCGCTTTCTATAGTAATAAATACTAAATATTCACGAATGTTTTATGACTGTACCTCATTATTATTTTGTCCGAAAAAATTCGTCCTCTTCGACCGCTCGTCCCTGCTCAACAGGATAAGCACGATAAGCAGATGAATGATTCGGTGCTTGCTTACGCCGAGGGACCTTCTTCAGGTATAAATTGTTAGTGTACTATGTACAAGACGATTTTATGTCGCCAGCTCTTAGACTATATGAGGTACGAATCCTCGGGGGGGAAGTATTTCTTTTTCTTTCAATGTAGACTGATGACCGAATAAAAAAATCCAAAACCCTCTGGACAACGTCCACCGTTAACAAGCAGTTAAAAGATTATCTTTATTGCGGAACGTTACTGTTAAGTACCCTGCCACCTTCATACCTGGTAGACAGCCGTAAATACCGAATAATTTTTACAGAAAATTCGGCAGGAAGGATTCACAAAGAAAAATATATTTACAGTATGCTTGCAGAAAATTACACGTAAACGTACATAATAATGTTAGTTCAAGCGTACTTTCTATTTGCATTAGTTTGGTTGTCTTAAAATTCGCATTAGAAACAATTAAAATTAAAGACATTTCTCTCTTATAAAAACTCTAAGAAAAAAAACATTTCCTTTACGGGGATTCCGGACCTTATACATATACTTCCGATAAACTTGAGTCCTTATATACTGAAACTCTACGAGACATAAATACATTAGAGAAATTTACATTATCAATAAGGTTGACTTTCGAGAAGTCTGTCAAAATGTGCCAACGGAAATCTTCCCACACCGGGATGCGTTTTCTACTACCATCGATCAGCGAAGGGCCGGGAGGAGTCGAGCTGATATGAAAGAAAAAACGCGGACGCATGGACAAGGAGAGAAATCAATGATCGATCTGTAATTGGATCGATCGTGCTTAGAGGGGTGATGAATTTGAATCAAACCCGTGAGCGTGAGGATCTTGGCGGAGCGTGCGTTCGTCAACGAAGTTTTGAAATATCGAATCGATTTGAGAATTGTATTGGGACTTGAATTAAAGTTGATAAATCCATGCATTCATATATTTTTCGTAGACATTCATTTTACATTACCAAAGATACCATGCGACCAGGATGGTTTAACACCCCACGCATAATTTACCCATTTCGCTATATAGTTTTCCCATGGGACAGGTTGGGAATATTTTCATGGGACAGGTTATTTTGCGCATGCACATTGTTTGCATGCGCATGCCTATATCTTATCAATCACTTCACTACTCCTAGTCAGCGGTGGTATAACTTTTCCCTCGAGGCTCGCTTCCTCTGTTTTTCGCCCGTATTTCGATCCCCACTACTATTCCCCTCATGCGTGCTCATGCGCGTTCGCGAAGCTCTCCGCAGCGCTACCGTGAAAATCACTGCATATCCCCACCAACTATTGGTCCCCACCATGTTCGTGTCGTCCCCACTTTCCGGCCGAGGGAAAAGTTATACCAGAGAGAAACTGAGAGTGCTCATGCCTTTGTTCTCTCGTAAGACCGCTTCGAAAGTGCTGCACCTTGCGGCCAACTGGGGAAGATGGTCCACCTTTAGCATGTAGCAGAACCTTTGTAGGAGAAATCTACCCTGTTCGGTTCCACCGTAGCACAGACNGACAAAGTCTCTTATGATTCGAATTTTTACATTTCCTTCCCTCAGTAGTCGTATTTCTTTTTGCTAAACACTTTTGTACACAATAATACAAATAAATTTTTAAATAATAATTTTCTTTAATCAATGTTACTGGGGATTCGAACCACTCTTAAAAAAGGATAACGTTACAGCAACCAGCTACTTAGGGTATAATAGTTGGGTTGAGGCACGTCTACCATAAAAATATAAATGATGTCGAATCGTGACAATTTCTATATGAAATCAGCATTAATTTATGCATTTTTTATTTTTCACGACCAAACTACGCAACGAAAAGATCTGAAAAGATTCTCTAATTTCGAGTACCGTCTTACGAACATGTGCGAATTTTTTCAGATTTCTGGCTAAACCTTTATTAAGAGAAATATGGCAAAACCGCTAAATCTGATTAACCCCCATAAGTACCCTCCGGATTGAGACAGAGGGTTGAAAATTGGCACAAGACGTTTGCTTTGGACACTCTATCGAATGGCTTATTGCAAGTTGAATTTCCTTCAAGAGCACATTTTACCATCTTATCCGGCTTTTTATTTCTTCATTGTTATTGCAACCTGCAACTTAAAAAACATTTTCCGTTGTAGTAGATTCCCTCTGCCCCATTCAATGTGCATACATCGACTATGTAAATTGTCGAATAAACAAAAAAAAGTGAAGTGCCTGGGTTTCGAACACACGGAGCTTCGAAGGCTCCGAGCCGAGCCTGGAAGACTTCGAACCTCGAGGAGAGGAGACCGTGATTTTCAGATGCGCTCGATTCACGCAATCAGCACCGAAGTTTCCGACCTTCTTTCCGAAGATGTCCGAAGACGGCCGAATTTAAAATTCGCTTCACTGACGCATCAGCACGCACACAAATTTCATCCACTCGGCTAAAAGTGTCGATTTAAGACGCGGCCGCGGACCGATGTTTATAATAAAAAATTATTGAATAAATGTCGAATTTCATATTAAATCTGTCTTGCGTTTAATTTCATTACCCTGTGTACTTCCTGACCTGCGGTTCTGCGAGTAAAATTTGTATTTTTATATAATCAAGTTACATATTGTTAAATTAGTAGAAACATCTCCCGACTTGACATAATTAACATATATGGGAAAATGGATTTGCACGACTTTCAAAATGAACGGTCCATCTGTATTTCAGCGAACTTGCTCGTCCGTCAAAGCTATTGCGGCTATCACTCGAGCGAACGATTCCCATTCGACATATATATATATTCCTATATCCCATCTTCATACTGCCTGGTACTGCCTATAATGTGTATATGCTACGGTGGACCTGGCCCTGATTCTAGTCTGTGCTACGGTGGAACCGAACAGGGTAGATTTCTCCTACAAAGGTTCTGCTACATGCTAAAGGTGGACCATCTTCCCCAGTTGGCCGCAAGGTGCAGCACTAGTATGGGAGACGCCAAAACGGCTCCATGAGCACTCTCAGTTTCTCTCTGGTTATACCACCGCTGCTCCTAGTACATATTTTCAACTGCAGAGTACACTGAGAACGTGACCATCAATTTGGCTGTGCTCCCTTCCATGTCCATAATCTCCCCTTCCACGTCCTTACTCACACCCCCTCTTGTCCATAACCGTACTTCACGGCTCACGGTCTCACGGTTTCTCTGTGTCTGTGTAGAGCGAATTTCAGTTCGCAGTTGAGCATCCTAGTGACTAGTGTTGTGTGTATACGTGTCCAACGCACGTGTGATATAACAATACAATTTTTCATTCTGAAAGTGAGTACACAACATTAAATTTTCAAATTTATATTGTTAATTGGACAATAAGTGGAATAAATATATATATGTACGTGATATTTGTATATATCTATTTACGTAAAATGATAGTTATATTTATACTGATTATGGTCGATAATGTGTACAAGGCAATGTATAGCGGCTGATAGCGTATGCAACAGAAAAATAAAATTTCTGAAGTTGCTCGGTAACTTATATCATTTGTAACTAATTAAGGAAATAATAGTGATAGTTTCATGAAATGTTAGATTGTATTTTGCTTGTTAATTATTTATTGAGTAAGTGTGACATTTTCTATACCTCCGTATGTCTCCTTATACACGCCTTCAGAACACGTGCGTCTCTGCCATGCCATGCCATGTCTGCCATGTCATTTATACCTGCCTATTGTGTACGTGCGCGGGTGCACTGGATAAGCGTGTTTCGCATTCGTAACCTAACAAAGAAATTCACAACATATACTTAGTCAAAGCCGAAGAATATAAAATCAAAGTATTACATACAAATTAGAAATCAAGTTTTTATTAAAATATTGTAGTGTACCGTATAGAGAAATGGTGATTTCATGACATATTGGATTGTTCATGTTGAATTTCATATTATTTCGCTCGTCTAACCCGTGTCCTATCGGGTGCCTGTCGATTTGTTAACATTTTTATATGTGTGAAAGGTAGTGGCTCTGGTAGTGGATCATGAATTTCACGGTTCATGTCACTGAATTTAATCGCTTATCTTTACCGAGATTTATATCGAAACGAACAACACGTTTTATATAGCTGTTTCCAATGTACAGACATTAAAATTTGAGTTATTCTATTATTACTAAATATAACCTTAAATAAACGCGTGGCTATGTGCTGACTTCAATATTCAAATCTTTTTATTTATTGCAACTTTTGATATATCATTTACAGAGTACCACTGTAGAACAATTTTCAGTATATATCTACTGTGAAATATAGTGCCATGGAAGCAAGATTTCTAAGTTATCACGATGGAAAACATTTTTCGGACTTCTCGTTGTCCCTAG